GACGCGCAGCTGAGGTCGATGCGACGGTATACTGTCCGAGTGCATACTTTGAGGCATCCTCATAATAACCTTATTATTATACATCTTTTCCTTTTAGAACAGATTGATCGAACTTCCTTGTGTGGAGTCTGGTCTAATCATTCTATATTTGGAATTTGCATTTCCTAATACGGTAGGATGAAAATACCCAGAGCAATACCGCAAAATTATGGCACACTGTAACTTATGGCGTTACAGTGACAGATGTATAATAATATAAGAGTGTATTTTTTTAACAGGAGAGCATAAATTTGTCTTTAACAAAATTAAAGTGGGGGAGACGTCACCTGCGCATGCGTCAGATGGCCATAGCATGTCATTGTTAACATTGTTAGCATATACCCATGAGCCTTTGTATTTTTAGCGTGTGTTGTTATCGTCGCTTGCGACTCAGGTGACAACCCTCTCGCTTTAAAATGACAGTCATTACAGAGCAGTGTGATAAACAATGTATTTTACACGCATTGTGTATGCCACATCGGATTCCTATCAATGATACACTGTGGAGCTTAGCTTGTGGAGCCACTGTGTGGCTGCACAAAGTAAAAATTTTTTTTTTTCACATAATTAATATATTACATTATAAAATGAAAATGAAAAAATATGGGATCAACGTACTCAGTCTAGGAGAACAGTTAATCAATCAATAGAAACCAATAAAAATAGCATGTGTTGTTCATTACAGGGCTTTGACCTTTGTATGCTATGATAAGAATATCTCAAGGTATTTGTTGATGTCTAGAACTATTAAAAACTGATAATATGGCATTGCTTGCTATATGCATATTTTATCAATTTTTTCCACAACACAGATTGACAATGAACAAATAAATTTGACAAATACTAAAACGAGTATTTGTATGGAGACAGATTTTGACACAACATTTTGTCACTGTTATATGCGCTAAAATATGCGCATATGTAATAACAAATCTCATGAGTAGCATTCTACTATAACAGTTGTTTCAGATTTAAAGCGAGAGGGTCGTCACCTGCGTACATGTAGGAATTGAGTCCCAAGCGATGATGACAACACATGCTAAAAACGCAAAGGCTCATGGGTAGATGCTTGTTTGTAAACAAGGTAAAGAATGGCCATCTGACACATACGCAGGTACAGACTCTCCCACTTTAAAGGACGATGGTCATAATGTCACGCTCTGTACGAGGTTGGATTTAGAGCGATGTACACACTGAGTGTAAAATACACTGTTCACATGAAATTCAAACATGTGCTGTGTGATGGCTAATGCCCTTTAATTCTAGTGACTTCACATAGCTCATACTTTTCAAAGAAATCATGCGAGTAATTGGCATCATGACCCATGTAGTTGAATTATGTCAATATCCACTTATATTGGATATTTGTGTTTCATTTATGAAATATTACCAAAGACTAGTAACAAATTCTATCATTGATGCAGCCTATAAAGAAAACTCATTCAGACCCACATCAGAATAATTTTTGTGATATTTTTAAAGAGAAGCTCAAATGTTTATACTAAATTTCTGCACATTCTCTTCCCATTGAATCCGGTAGACATAAAGGCATTTTGAAGGAAAACGGGCTATGTAATCTCCATGAATGCAATGAAGTAGGGGATGAGAAACATTACATTTTATATTGTAATAATTGTCAAATCAAAAAACAAAGATCTAGATTCCTTGCAGCTCTATACATATATGCCCCAAAGTTGGAAGATTTTAGCATGGATGAATTATTTCCTATTATTGTTTCAAGTAATGATTTTTTCATTCTTAGCATTTTTGCAAAATTTATATTCTTGATATGTTTTAGTACTGTAAGTTTTTGTTGTCATGAATGTTTTGTTTTGTTATTGTTATTTTTGGACTTTACTCAAGACTACATTGGTACGTTCCAAATAATAAATTCTATCTATCTATCTAATATTATACCCGGATACTGTGTAATGTCATACTTACACAATCAGCTACATAGGCAACTCTTTCCAAAGGGTCAAACGCTATGCCCCATGGATAGTGGAACCTGGCAAGTTTTCCTACGCTGTCCTGTGAACCAGAGCGAGTCTCTGTACAATCGGTGTTTGTCTTACCCGTATGTATATCACCACCTCCAGCTACGGTAGTTACAACCCCTGTGAAAAAATAGAGTTGCCCAAAACATAGTACTATAAAATAATTTATTTTAGCTGGAATTAATTTTCGCTGAAAAGACTTTTTGGTTGTTTTCGGTGGAATTTATTTTCAGTGATTTTTGTCAAGTTGAATGTAAAATATAGGAAAAAAGGTATATTCGCTGGATTTTATTTTCACTGATTCATTTCTTCAGCAAAAATAGCGAAAATTAATTCCAAGCAAAAATAAAGTAGTTTACAGTAACCAAAGTATAAATTCCCCTATCATTTACATTTCTAAATACATTTTTCAAACACTTGAATAAAGAGTTTTCATATTCGAATATATTTAATATTAAAATGGTAACAGTAATCTGCACAATTTTCTCTGTGATAACATAAATAGCATACAATTATCAAGTAACGTGGCAAGAACACAGGAACATTTTTTTTATGAATCACACATTTAAAATTGGAATACATAACAACATTATGTAGCTATAAATATATGACTGACAAATTAAATGTTAATTTACCTGCAGTTGCCATGACGAAAGATGTCCATTGATAGTTTAATATGAGGAACAGTGCTGCAAACTCGGTGAAGCCCATTCTATCTGCAGATACAACAATCGCAAACCAGTGAATATGAATATCGAAGTAGGAGTGTTATTGAGGGGCATTAAATCGCGGTGGTCGTCGCGCAGCGCGTGTTCGAATTTCATGTAAATAAACAATGTATTTTACACGCGTTGTATACGTCGCTATGAGTCCCATATCGAACAGGACGCGGCACGACGACTGCCGCCTTTTAAGCTTAGAGCCAAACAGTAATGTATGTACTCTTGACTAATTGACAGTCTTACAATAATAACCACACATTTAAAAACAAATAACAATGTTGCTTGAAAATAGGAGAGGTTCACTGTTGATGTTATCACAAGGCAATATGGAGAAGTTGTGAAACACCTACCCCATGCCATGCCTACCCCCACGCGAAGAGCCTTCTATCGGTATTTTTGTTGTTCACATTTATTCTTTGCAAATTCCAATATGGTAGAAACTTATTCTTGTGCCACTAATCAACCAATCACCGTGCATCACCCCATGGGTCAAAGAAAAGCGACTACAATGTGGTCTTTCGTTTACTACTTAGCGGCTGTGTACCAGTGGGATTATTCTGCGTGTACTGTATTTGGATGTTCTAATCTTGGTGTTTTTCCAGTGATTTCTCCAGGTGCAACTCAAATACAGTGTGTCTTGTTTATACCCGAGTTTTGCAAGAATTTGAGCTGACCAGCATGTGCGTTTTTTTCATAATGTTGATTGAATTCCCATTTTAGAGCCATGTTTCCAATTTTGTTTACATTCTCTTCAATATAGCAATCTCCTCATATGTTAACATTGAGCCCTGGAAAAAATGCGTTGCAAGAGGGGGGAAAGAGGGGTAGCTGGTACAGTTTTACGGGAAATAAAAAGGGCTTTTTACAATTTACAAGGAAAAAAAGACGTTTTTACAGTTTACAGTGAATTGTGTCATCTAGTCGTTTTACAGTTTCGAAAATGTAATTTCCCTGGATTATTCTTTACGACTTTTTTTATTTGGATGTAAATTCTTGTACGTACCGAGAAAATGACACATTTTTACAGTGTACAAAAAAATATTCGATTGATTACGGTGTACGTCTAGTCTGTGATTACAGAATTACGGAATTTATTTTTTCAATTTACGTTGCACGAACAAAAAAATGTTGCAATTACGTTGAACGAAAATAACCCTTGCCCCCTTGCAATGAGTTGCGTTTTAATTTGCGACTCAGTGTCTATTCACGAAAGATGGTGTTGAATGTTCAGTCAACAAAAAGAGTTCTCCAACTTGATAAATCGATTGAAAAAAAAATGCAAAAGTATCCACTTTCGCGTGTTGGCTGTATCTGACAGGATTCGACTCCGAGAGCCAGGGTAGCGCACTCCCTACCATACGACTGGTATCCTAAACTCAAATCATTAGAAACACGACAATGTGACGACAGCACCAAACTGTGTGCATGGCCCAATTGCAAACCGCCTAAAAGTCTCGTTTGCCGCAACAATTCTGTGCTGGAAATCGACTCTACCTCAAACGCTTTACGTGTAATTAGATAGTGTATGAGAATTTGATTCCAAAATAATATAAAAAAAATCGAGCACCCGGCGAATCAACGTCCCAAACTTTAAAC